TAAAATACAGATGAACTTAGACTTTAGACTTAGACAACTTTCATTGTCATTTTGTATTCAGAGAGTGGATAAAAAACCGCATTTCGTTTTTTACAGCTTTCAGAACATTTCCATTTCTTTAAGTGCAGCAATGATCACATGGAAACATGGTGGGAGAAAAAAACATGGTGCAGATAAACCCTTGGGGGTGAGGTCAGCTGAAAGCCTCATTTCCCTTCATCATCGTCTCCTGAAACCTTCCGCTTCTGTGGAAGGCAGCTCCTCTCCTTCCCTTCTGCTTCTCACCAACATAAGGAGCCTTTCCTGTCCTTTCCTTTCCTTTCCTGTCCTTTCCTTTCCTTTCCTTTCTTTTCCTTTCCTTTCCTTTCCTTTCCTTCGACTGGTAGAAGGGATTAGCGACCCTGGAGCTCTGACCCTTCTTCCCTCTGCAGGACTTTATTTATCAATCTAGCCTCCATTAAAACTTCCAGCAAGAATCTGTTGAAGAATCCATCATTTTATGATTGGATTAACGCTGATGACACAATATGGAGAAGTTATCACAGAGTATAATACTGCCACCACCGTGTTTCATAATGAAGGAGCTTCACAGTGCAGTTTCTTTACAGAACAGGATTTTGAAAGAGGAAAATAACACTTTGATATCTTTGGACCAGAAAACATTCTGCATCAGTAATTTGGTAAATGTTAGCGGGGAGGAATAATTAAAGTGGAACGTCTTTCAGGCCAGATGTTTGGCCAATAAAGGTGATTGTTGCAGAACTTGGTGGATATTTAAAAAGTTGTATTGCCACCATATTGCTTTTTTCCGATGTTGACAATGTGCAGCTCTTCAGTGTTTTATAAACAGGTTTAGCGACCAAAGCAGGAGCAGTTAGGACGCCCCGTCTCTGAAAAGGAGTGTGTATTTAAATAGAAAAGAGCTAAATGTAAGTTAGGCGGTCGGTAGATTTTACTCTGAGGCCTCAAGAATAAAAAAACCTTTATGTGTCGAATGAATGATACAAAAACATGTTTATTAAAGACAGTCCTGATGTTGGAAAGATGAAGGTTAATATGTTTAGTGAAGACAGCCTGACAATTTAACTGCTCTGATGCTTTAAAAGAAAAGACTCCAAATATTATTTCAACTTTTATTATTTCTTGAGCCTGTTTGAGACTTTTTATACAAAACATAATGAAAGCTGACAGAAAACAGCAAACCGTAACGTTTCTCCTTAAGCTTTTCATTACATCTCATCTTTTTATATATATATTTATTTTTTGCAGGATTCAAACTGGTATTTCTGTTTTTTTCAGTGACAGACTTTAGAAATCATTTTTTTTGTAAAACTGGGCTCTGGCAACAACATCGTTGGAGTAGTCTCCACCTGTCGTGCCGACGTCCACCCTCTCATACGTTTGGACGTTCCGATCCCCAAAGTTGTAGGCCGCTATCCCTCCTGTAGAGAAAGAAATCAGCATTTAAGAATCAAGATGTCCAAAATTACAAAACATAAATGGAAGCAAACAGATGAATCTGTAGCGTTTATCGGATGACTGTCAGGATGTTTCTCTAGTCAATAATTAACCATAAATAAAGTTGGTCAGCTTCTTTTAAAGATAAACTTTATGTAAAGAGGGGCGGGGTTCCTATCACCTGGGCAACACGAGGGGAATAGATGTTTCCCAACCTGGGAAATCTGAGTAAACCACATAAGCTCCAACTGATGTGGAAAAGCAGAGAGTTCAGGGTTTCTGACAGATCAGGGCGACTCGTTATGAAACGTTTCTAAAGCTTTTAAATCGCAGGAACTTTCAGATGAATCACAGAGAGATTTAGGAGAATCAAAAAGATCTAGAGGATCATTGCAGACAAAGCTGAGCCTCTGAGTCACCAACATCTAACACAGATTAAAACTGTTTCTCTTCAGAAATCACGCCTCTGACTAACCAACCAACTAACCAACCAACCGACCAACTGATCAACCAACTGATCAACTGACCAACCAATCGACCAGGATTATTGAAATCTGGAAGCTTTTTAATGAACTCTTCTTAGGTTAGGGTTAGGAAGGTGTGAATACTCTTTAAATACATTTTATTGTGTTAATATTTCTTTACTTTATGCAGGTTTACTAGTGGTTCCTAGAATTTCTAAAAGTAGAATGGGAGGCAGATCTTTTAGTTC